ACACGACGGAGCACACCAAACTCAGGGCCACGAGTAGATGGGATTGTTATTTGATCAATATGGTGCCGATGAAGATCAGTGACCTGCATCAAAATCAGAAAAGCAAATGAATAACAGACTGGACAACTAAAATGCTCCAGTAAGAAGAGGAAAATACACCCAATAAATTATTTCTACAACAGAACTCGAATGAACAAAGACTTCTTGAAGCATAAAAAGTTAGAAACCATATATCTAACGCTATAGAGGGAGGTCCAAGAGCTAAACAAAAACACAAAAAACAAACAGCTACCACCACATTGAAATTTCAAAATAATGAGAAAAAAGGAATTTGGAAATTAGTCTGCCTTTCCAAAGCATCAATCCACAGCCTACTAAAATATATACGAAATTCGGATGTGGCAGAATGACACATGCAAATTATTTTGGGAATAGCATGTGAAAGGTGTGGCAGAAACAGAATGACACAGAGAGCGAAAAACCAGGAAAAAAAAAAGAAGAGCAATAAAAACAGACCTTGGCACCAGAGAGCTTTTCAAGCTTCTCAACAGAATCCATGACCACTGCTTCCTCTCCATCATCACTAATCCATACTGGAAGAGGAGTGCCCCAAAATCTACTTCGACTGATAGCCCAATCTCTCGCATTTTCAAGCCAATTGTGGAAACGTTTATCCTGCATACCGGCTCAGTGGAGATGAAGTTTTAGAACGACATACTTCACAACAGCCACCAAGATGCATAAGAGTCTTTTTTTTTCTTTTGCACTAACCTTCACATAATCGGGCACCCAATACGTCTGTTTGTTGTTTTCTAGCAATTGTTCTTTCAACTGTTCCACTCGCACAAACCTAAACAGATCATACACATATCAAGGATAAAATTCTGACAAGCACAAAATGCACAGGACCAAATATCCCTCTCAATTTCCAGTGACATTTTAAGCCAAAGACATATACTACTTAAGCATATCATATGAAAAAATAGAAAATATCAGAAAGCAAACATACAATGATTTCTTGCCAACAAATCAGATGTGTTAATGCACCAGTAATATCATACAGAGATTGAAAAGAAAGCTGCTTGATATAATCAACTGAGGAGTTTAAGATCACATTTATCCCAATCAAACATGGATCCTGCCTACATTCGTTATATTCTAAAGAAATATCAGCAAAACAAGGCGCCTCATAAAAATAATCACTAAATAAATTAACACCTCGAGTTAGCACGAAACATACCAACTGGGAACTGCCCTATAAATAAGAGGGGTGTCTGATCGCCAGCAAAATGGATATGAGTGCGTAAAGGTTCCAGACTTAACAAGCCTGCCTTTCGCCTGAGATCAAAACAGATACATTTATTATCACAGAGAAATAATGTTGCCTGAAATGAAAATATGCCACTAGTTTTCCATTAAAGATAAATAAATAACTAAGCACAAAAATCCAAAATGTTCTGTGATCCTCATGTACGATATCAGGTGCCAAACTACTAGGAAATAAAGTACAATTTGTGCTCTTTTTAACTAGCCACGATCCATATATAGATATAAGCATCAGTTACTACCTTCACAGCTTCTACTATATCCTTGTCTGCATCCTTGACATAACGGCCGCTGAAGTGGGTGATTCTCTCGATAAACAATCCATCATCATCAACGGCCACAATTAGATTCTCTCCCTGCAAGGAAATATACAACCACATAGCCCATGAAAAACAATAACAGAAAAGGAAACTAGAAGAATAGCCACAAATGGATTCTTCAAAAAAAACCTTAAACCCAAAACCAGAGACAAAGATATCGAGAACATAACACAAAACAGAACACCTAAACGGTAAAATCACTCTATTTCTAGAATTGCTAACCTTCAAACCTACTACCCCTAAAGTCTAATCGAATGGAGTAAATTGAACTTTTCTGGTCCTTCTGGTCCTGAAGGAAAACTGAAAGACATATGAATGTAGTATACCACAGGCTTATGGTCCAAACTATTAAGACAGTGAAATTGAGATGGCTGTCCAAGTACTTACCTTTTTAATTATCCCATTCTCTAGACAAACCCGATAGTCATCCTCACCAAAGGCAGGGGCACAGTGTACAATACCAGTACCACTGTCGTCGGTGACATAATCATCTGCAATAACTCGAAAAGCCTCACTGGAGAAATCATTAAAGTACTCAAACAACGGTTCATACTTCTTCCCAACCAAGGCAGCTCCCTTGATTTTCTCCAAAACTTCAAACGAATCTGCCACAGTCTCAGTTTTACCCCCTTTAGCCTTAGGGTTCGATTTCTTGGGATCACCAGAAGGTCCATTAGTGACATTGGTCTTTGGCTTATCAGTGGGAAGTGCAGACAACCGAGATTCAGCAACCACGAAGACTTTTCCAGAATTCTTGTTGCGAACCTTCACGTAGTCAAACTTCGCATTGACACACAAGGCAAGGTTACTTGGAAGTGTCCACGGAGTCGTCGTCCACGCCACAAAAGCCGCATTGTCCGGATCACCAACAACCGGGAACGAAACCATAATTTCAGGGTCTGGGACATCCTGTATCACGCATTCCACCAATTTCTAAGATCAAAGGATGCAAAAGAAGGCATCTTTGTATTCGATTTTCAGGAAAAATACAAGCTCCGCCACAATACACAATAAAAAACTGAAACACAAGACTAACAACAGACCTTATAGTTCTGACCAGCTTCAAAATTAGACAGCGGCGTTTTACAACCAGTACTATACGGCATAACCTGCACAATAAGAGTTAATCAAGACGACATTGTTTCACGGCGCTCAAACGATAGATGTAACAGCAGCCCAAGACTTAGAAAATTTTCCAAAAAAATGAAAAAAGAAAAAGGTCAGACCTTGAATCCTCTATACACAAGTCCCTTGTCCCAAAGCTGAGCAAAAACCCACCAGACACTTTCCATAAACGACAAGTCCATCGTCTTATAATCATTTCTGAAATCGATCCAACGACCAGTCCTCGTTATAACCTTCTCCCACTCCTCCACATAACGCGTCACAATACTCCTACACTCCTCATTGTACTTATCAATCCCCATCTTCAACACATCGTCCCTCCTCTTAATCCCAAGCTTCCGATCAATCTCGTTCTCCACCGGGAGCCCGTGACAATCCCACCCGAACCGGCGCGTGACGTGGTGACCCGTCATGGTCTGATAGCGCGTGACGATGTCCTTGATTGTTCCGGCAAGGATGTGACCGTAGTGAGGAAGACCGGTGGCGAATGGAGGACCATCGTAGAAGATGTACTCGGGTAGATTCTTCGTACGCTCAAGCTGGGTCTTGAAAGCGTCAATTTCGGTCCACAAAGAGATGATCTTCTCTTCCTGCTAACATTTACAAATTTTGTGGGTCATTCTCTTGGTACCTCTGCCTCACAGTTTCTTGGAATGGCAGGATACTTAATGCTTATTCCAAGGTAAATCAGAAGCCAAAGGCATCATCTTCAAAGAGGTAAGAATTTCATGTGGGTTTGATTATATGCTTTTGACTGTTAATTCTTTAGATCCTCCTCAGTTAGCATCAAACTATGAGAAATGATGTCGCTTGCCTTTGATTATTTTTTTCTAATACGTAGAGTTCAATATCTTGTGCTTATGAATGCAAGATTTGAAGCTTGAGGGCTTAACAGTGGTTTCCGCTGCCGTAGAGGAGGATGTAGTTCGAGCCCTGGAACACGGTTACACGGCGATGAACTAGGAAGGAGAAGAAAAAGGGTTCATTTCTTTAAAACATTTCTTTTATATGGGTTACAATGGGCCTGATATGGGCTTAAATTAGGCCCATTTAGTTGTCAACGGTCCGGTCAATTTTACATGGCCTTTTACCGCTTTTTGAAATTTCCATCTTTCGATGCGAAAGAGGTGACGATGTCGATGCTTAAATCTAGAAGCTGGGTTTCCATTATCTTCTTGCTTCTCGCCTTCATCTTCTATCTCCGCAAAAACCCTGCTCCTCCAGACATGGCGGAACAATCATCCAACTCCATCTACGACTTCACCGTTAAGGTATGTATAATCAGTCTAAGATACGCACTTTGATGGGAATTCGGATTTGCTTGCTGTGATTGCTGATTCATAGCCATTTTGTGATTTTTTTTCGTTCTGGTTAGGGTTTAGGATCATTCTACTTGATTAGGTTCTTTTTGGGTGTTTTGTCTTTTTTTGTTCCTTGTTTGCTGTTTGATAATTATCTGGTTTTTTACTGTATGCAGAACGATGAGGCTTGCTTTTTGTTTCTAATATGTTCCCATGGCTGTTCTTATGATGTTTATCTTTGCTGTTATTGATGGGTTTACTGAGAACTAACTCCACATGTGCTGAATTCTTAGCGACAATTGAATGTCTTAACAACCAAATAGAAGCAAGAAAGTGTTCGAGTTTGTACGGAAAATGTCTTGATAGTTGTGTTTTCTCATGTCTGGTTTCCGGTCGTGGAAGTTTTGGTTTGGCGTTATAACGATTATTCGTGTACAAGGTTATTTCTCGGATGGTAGTGATCTTTAGGCTAATTGAAATACAGGACATCAAAGGGAACGATGTGAATTTGAGCCAATATCGGGGGAAGGTCCTTCTTATCGTGAATGTAGCATCAAAGTGGTATGCCTTCTACATATCGGGTGCTCTTTCACTTCCCTTTCCATGTCAATTATCTTATTGCATAGTTATTCTTGAAGGTTCTGAATTATCACGAACAGCATAAATCTATTCAAATCGTTTTGTGGGACTGTTGGCCATTGATGATTCATTTGTATCAGATTTTCAGTTTGACAAAGTAACAACAGAATCTTTCAGATATAATGTTTTGAGCTGTTTGCTAAATGGTTCGTGTGCATCCATTTAAGTATAATATGTGTGACATGGGCAACTGCAGTCTGCACCGTCTTGTATGATCTGACACAATGGTCTAGAGAAGCTTTGTTCTTGATATTCCTTTGGGTTGGCAAACATTCTTGGTTGAAATCTTGCTGTGTCAATTGGGCAGTGGTCTAACACATGGTAACTACAAAGAGTTGAATATTTTGTACGAGAAGTACAAAAGCAAAGGTACATCTCTCAATCTCCTGCATCTTTTTGAAACTAAGAACTAGTGCAGAATTTAGTTACTTGGGAAAGCATCATTCTTTCAGGGCTTGAGATCTTAGCATTTCCCTGCAACCAATTTGGCGGTCAAGAGCCAGGTAGCAACGAGGAGATTCAGGAAACCGCATGCTCAATGTTCAAAGCAGAGTTTCCCATCTTTGACAAGGTGCTCGTTTAACATAACACTAGATTTTGCTAAAATCTTAAGTTGTGATGACACTAATTCATGTATTAAATATAATACTCCTATGAAGTTTTGGCCTGGTCGACTCTGAATCCTCATAGTTATTTCATATATGCCAAATGCAGGTTGAAGTGAATGGAAAGAATGCTCATCCCCTCTACAAGTTCTTGAAAGCACAAAAAGGTGGATTCTTGGCAGATGCTATAAAGTGGAACTTCACTAAGTTCCTGGTAGACAAAGAAGGGAAGGCTGTCGACCGTTATGCTCCCACTACATCACCTCTTAAGATTGAGGTTAGCAAAAGTTTCCGCATCCTTTGACATCCATTTTAGCCTTGTGAGGGATTCAGAGTAACTCTGTTTTTTCCCCTTCTCGCAGAAAGACATAGAGAAGCTTCTGGCTGCTGCCTGAATGGAAAATTAAAGGTGAGATCTGTGTTTGCCCACAGAAATTTCTGTCACTGCTAATCTCATTTTCCTTGTCTAAGGACAGAATAAGAGCAGCATAAGTGTAATCTGTGAACTATGAATTCAGTCTTTTACCACCTCCATGTTTTTAGCAGTTTTATCAGTTGGGAATGCACACAATAGGTGTTCTGTTCTGTATAAACCCAAATGCTTGTGAACTATCATCGCAAAAATAAAGTTTTATTATTTCCATGGAAATTATTCAATACATCAATCTAGGAACAATCACAGGAAGTAGATATCAGCAAAATCTGCCAAGACATCTTGTGGTACATCTTCTATTGCCATATCCATCTTTGCAGCCGACCAATCTACAACATCGTTTCAGGCAGGTCTATCTCAGTTGGTTGACCATGAGACTTCACTCCTGCAAGAAACATTCCCTGGGAATTCATTCATTCAGTTGGTCAGGACCATCATTGAGATATAAGTTCATTGTGTTTCTTTCTTGAATCCCTGAGATTTTGTTCAGTCACTCCATTTTTCGCCCATGCAAGTTCTTCTCAACTGCATAATCTCACAGTGCATGCCACAGCCTGTGCCCAGTACTTCAGCCTTGCTTTTACATCATCCGGGTTATCACCTGTATTCACAAAATTGAAAGATCTCATCTTCATCATGGAATCATCTAGATTGTATTGTTCTGTCCTGTGTTGTTGTTGTGAGTGGAGAATCAAATGGCCTAAATTTGAAGGAGAAATCCAGAGAAATTGGCTTACCAGGGCTAGAGATCTTCCAGCTAGCGATTGGGCTGACGGAGGATTCCGGCACCGGAGTCTTCTTCTCCGGCGACGTTGTCGTTGTGTTCTGGTCGTGATCCAGAAACTTCTGACTCATCGAGTAGCAAAGCTCGAGGGCCGGTAAAGTGTTGCAGAGCTCGGGGATCTCTTCGTAGCTGAACCCAAACCCTAGATCCACGCAACCTTTCAGCTCCTCGAGATCGTCATCCGTCAAGCTCTTCGTCCTCTTCAAATCGTCGTGATCTCCGTCGACATTCACCGCCTCGACATAACCCTCGAGTAACACCTGGCTCTTCTTCTTCTCCAACGTATTCTTCTTCGCCTCCTTCCTCTTCTCCTCACTCACCAATCCTACACCGTTTCCGCCATTGTCGATCTCCTCCTCCGCTTCGAAGCACGACCCCGATCTAGAGCTCGAGCCCTCGCAGTCTGAATCCACGTCTGCTTCGTATGAACAAAAGAAAGACTCCGAATCCGCCATTACTCTCTCTCTCTCTCTCTCCCCGAATAAAACGCGGAAAGTAGGAATAAAATGCAAAGGAAGAAGAAGACTAAGGTGCTTATAAAGCTGGCACTGGAGGCAATTATTTGTTTTTTTCCTTACATGTGAATGGCGGATGTATGTACGCATGCAACTATCCATGATGGCGGGATCTTCCCCATAGTTTGAGAGCCCACTTCCTGAACACTGAACAAGAGATCGTGGGTTCAACACCCAGGTATGGAGATTTCCCTTCCGGCCACCTTCGAGTGCTTTACATCCCACACGTGTGGTGCCGGTGGTGCGTGTGGGTCGGATTAGTCTGGGCCCTTTGGGTCTGGGATTACCCAGTTATCAAAAAAAAAAAAATATATCCATGGCCATATCCATGATGGCCATCCCCATCATGATAATGTTCATAATATGGGGCCCACCACGTGCGTCTAGAGTCTAGATCTTGTTACCACAGGCTTTCGGCGAATACAGAAGCGTTGAAACGTAATAGTCCCTAGAGATTTTGATTCAGGGGTATTTCCATTTATAATATACATATATAACTTAATATATTTGATTAAATAAACAATTATAAAGAATATCACTAAAAAATTTAAAAAAAAATACAAATAAAACTAAATGTGGTGGTTTCTATGAGATTGCAATAATGTATGAGATTTTTTCTTCCATTACTTTTCGTGACAAACAATGAAATTGACTTTAATTAATCTATAAAATAATTGGACATCTAACTAATGCAGGTGCTATACGTGTCAACAAAGTTATGGTCTTGGTGGAAAAAATGACCACTAATGTCAAAAGCCTTTGAAATTTTCAAACCAAAAAATTAGAAGAAAATATAAAAACAAAAACTAAAATGTGAAGGGCTGATTAATATTCAACCAAAACGCACGACAAATATAAAAACAATATATAGATACATCAAGAAATTCACATGTGGTAAATATATCAATGCATCATATAATATACATGTGGGGGCTATATATAGATCATAATTACATTACACACTATATGGTCCATACTAATGTCTAACTTCGGACGGCCGCATCAACATATATTTGCCTCATCAAGTTAATTAATTTTTTATACTCGGTTAAAATATATATATATATATATATAATAAAAAGAATAATGATTAGGTTTTATTATAAAACGGCTTTATATTTTAATTAATTCTTCGGCCAACTACAAGTCGTTGGTCTCTAGATTGTCAGCTCATCAATTTTCTGCCGTCTCCACATTTCATATCTTTGCCGACCGACGACTCGACATTTTAAAATATATTCGACCATTTAAAAAAAAAAATATATATATATATATATATGATCAAAAAATTATATGTGTTTTCATTTGTAAGTGAATGGCAATTGATAACTAATAGCGTTTTTTTTTCTCTCATGCAAAACTAATTCAATTTACTTCTTACATAATATACACCAATATTCAATAATAACGTTAATATTAAAGGGAACTATATATTATTATTATTTGCATATATTACTATTTAATATAATTTAAAATTTAACTTTAAAATTTTATCATATAAAATTTAAATTTTTAATAATTTAAATTAAATATTTTGTACATGGCTCCTAAAATCATTGAGACGGCTATGTTTTATGACTTACTCAAATTAATAATTTCTCACATTTAATATACCATAAATAGTTTTGTATTCTATAACTCAAAATAAACATAATTTATTATAAACTTAAAATTTTGTTTAATCTTTTTTCCTTTTCATCATTTTATCTCTATAGATAATACTTTTGAATTAAATAAAAAACCAGTTTTAAATTTTAATCGCCTCGATACGCTGACTGGATCTGAGAAATTTTAAAATGGATCTACAAATGATTCTTTTATAATTTAAGTTAATAAAATCGAATCTTTTTAGTTACATACAAGTAATGATACAGCTTTTATTACAAATCCCCAGGTGCTGTCAACAGCTACACTAAAAAAAAAAATCAAAGGTGAGAATGCTTCTCGAAATTTTAAATTGCAGCATATAAACAACCGTAATTAAATGTGATATTAGAAATTTTTAAGGTTCTATATATATATATATATATATATATTTAAACCAAAAAAATAATATATATATATATATATGACAAACATGATTTTGTCTTGTATTGCGTAAAATTTCCCTGCGATGACATGCCCATCGGCATTACCATTGCATGTATAGCATGGTTAACGATGATCACCATGGTTATGTCATGTTAATAACGACGATACATGCGTACATCGTAATTGATGTTATCAGAGATTATAATTCACAAGTAAAAGAAATGTATATTCCCGTAAGGTTTGATCATTTTTTTTTAAAAATGAAATTGTTGCATGACACGAAATTGGTTGCTTAATTCATTTGCCAATGATCATATAATAATTTCGCACAACTATTATATGCCTGTATACGTATCATAATAATGCATTTTTTTTTTATTTAACACGCATGTTGCTATTTAAGCAAGTATCATCATCAACTAGCAATTAACTATTTAATTTATTTTAACGTTAGTTTCGTAAAACAGCCCGATTATTTTCACGCATATATGGATACGAGATGTGCATGGACGATGAAGGTTGCCACGTGGATTAAGGCGATTGGAAGAAAAGGGGCCTAATGACAAGAACAAAGCAACAACTCACGTGTCCATTTTTGGTGACACTCAACAACATTAATCATTTACATTGGGTTTGGGTCCCACTTCATATCATTAGGGGTATCATTAACTTGTTGATTAATTCATTGATCATAATCTCGGAAAAATTGTTACGGACATCGCGCATCCTCATTCATACGGGATCATGAAAACATTGTTGGTATTTTAGAATAAACAACCAATTGGTTTTAATCTTTCACGAGATTAATGATGCACATATATTACGAATATAGTTAAGGAGTAAAATATTGTAAAAGACTTGTCGTGAATTAGTTTAAATGTTATGATTCGTCGGAAAAGATTATATTCGCTTTAAAACGTGGAAAGTGATCTGAGAATAAATTGGAGGACAACTAAAAAATGTGGACGGACAACCTATTTTAAATAAAGCTCGAATAAACGGACGGTAACTCTAATAAATGGACGGATAACCCATTTTTCTGAGTGACTGTTAGAGCGAAAAGTCGCGATCAGTCAGTGAAAACACGAAGAAGAACACAAAAATGCAGATTTGTGACAAGATCTAAGTGATTTTGTGAGAGATTTGAGTGTTCTTTCACACAGTTTTATGCAGAATTAATTTATGTGCAAGGGTTTCTTTGTTTTCAGTTAAACAAAGGTCTGTAGTAAACCAAAATCATTAGCACTTCATTGTATTTCAAAAATGTATTCCTATGATCTTATTTACCCGGTAGAGATAGAATAATACTTTTAGAAAAGTGTTCGTTATGCCTTGAAATCATATTCGGCCCCTACTATTTCATACGTATTTTGATAGGTTGAAAACAAGATTATCATATCAGATATATGTTGTCATCTTACCAGATACGTATACGTGTTCATATTATTGATTTTTCCGCAACAATCTAAAAGCACTAGATATGTATGTTGATATCGATACGCATGATGTTGACTCTTATTAATATTTTCCGACAAACATTTTAGAAGAATATGGCGAGATCAACTATAATTTTTTTTGTTAAAGAGATCAACTGTAATTTAAACTAATAAAATATCACATCTTTAAAAGGCTTTCGAAACTTATTCATAGGGAAGATGACACGCATAACCCCAATCATCTGCATGAAAATGTTTGGGACATGTGTGTGTGATGTATCATGCACATACATATACATATATATATATATATATATATATATATATATATATATATCAAATAACATCATATAGACATGATGTGTTGTGTCACGCGTTAGACATGAGACACTATGTAATAATGTCTTGTCAATTTTATTTTACACCCGTACTCACGTGTATGCATATCTCGAAAGAACAATCTATTATTTTCGATTTTTTTTTTTCACATTTTCATGGTTATATAGTTCATGGGGCACACATATTATATATATATACATAATCTACTATAGAGTTCCAACAGGTGAGTGGTAGGGTTAGCCACAAACTATATCATTTTTTTGTAAACTTTGTTTTTATGATTGTCTTGATAAAAAAAATGTAAACTGTATGAAGATATGCAAAATGGTAGTTAGGAACCGATGTAAATTGATTTGTAACAATAAAAAAAAATACAAATGCAGAAAATTACGAGATAATTTGACCAAAAAAAAGGAAAATTACGAGATAAAAAACAATGATGAGAACAGGACAACGTGAGGTTTATGAGTGGGGGCCTTTTTGTCTTTTTGTTTGGAAAGACGAGCAATTCAGGTCTTGTCTTGATATAGGTCCGAACTCAAAGTCTCTTCGTATCTTAAAAGACAGAGTCTTGCATTCGCATTTTGTCGGTCCATATCTAGAGAATTCTCTAGTCGTATCTGCCAATTACAAAACGCACCGTTTTGGTCAGAAACACGTGACGATGACGATGACGATGACGATGACGATGATGATGATGATGATGAGCATCCATCCATCGGCATTGTTTCTATGGAGTAATCTAAAGCAATCGAAAAATATATAAAGATTTAATTGAAAATGACCGAAAACAAACCACACAATGACGAGAAATTGTATCTAACCCAAATTAGACGGCTCAATTCTTAAGGGACAACATTTTAACATCCATTTAAAAAATCCATTGCATTTTTTTTCGTTTTGATATTTAATCTTTCAAAAGGGTGTCATTTTTGGTCCGAGTCTCGAAATTCAACCCGGTCCATCTCGAAATATAACGGATTTCGGGTCAAAATATCTATACTCGAAAATTTTCGGACTTTCAGACCAGATTCGATTCGGGTTTCGGACTCGGTTCGGTTCGGTTCGAAAAATCTAATACTTTTTTGAAAAAAAATCTTAAAAAAGGAAAAAAAATATATTTACAAAGAAAATTGTACGGGCCGGTCCAGTCCGGTCTGATCCGATCCGAACTCGAAATTTACAGAATCGGATTTCAAGTTTGATGATATATAGACCTTAAAAAAAATCGGATCGGTTCGAGTCTGAATCCGAAACCTTTGCTCTGAGTGCGGATTCAGACCGGATCGGATTCAGAGTAGACCCAATTGACAGCCCTACTTTCAACTTTCTCGAGTTTTGAGTCTTCGGTCACACATTTAACATGCCAAAAAGGTCTATACGACTCCAAGCCAACCCGATATTTTGTTGGATGTGGAGAAGTAGAGGGGTAAAATTGGGATTGTCGACAGGTCTAGTCAAGAGAGAAGCTTCTGTTTTCGCCAACTCCCCTTTCCTTTCTGCATTTTCTCTTCACTATTTTTTTTTTTCTTCATACTTGTCAGGCTCTAACGTGTTAGAGATATCTTTCGTTCAGAAATTTCTGAGTTGTTGATTCCTGACTCTGTGCATTATTAGATGTAGCTGAGAAGATTCTCATCATTTCCTCTGTATTGGATTTCGTGTCGAGGATTGTTCAGCTGATTTTTCTCGGAAAAAATCTGTGAGTAATCTATTTTTTTTCTCTTCTGTGTTTACTTGATATTGTTTTTTGTTTCAATAGATCGTTTGACCGAAAATGATGATGGAATCTGGCGTTTGATTTAGATCTTTCTGGTGATTTAAGTTCAATTGAGTTCATGTTCATTGACGATAACTTTGATGATCCCTGGTTTTGTTTTCTCTTCCTCGTTTAGATTTCTAGGTTTTTTCTTCTACTTCCTCTTTTTTGTTGCTGCTCATGATTGAGTTTAACCTTCTGGGTTTAGGGTTCAGTTTCGTGATTTGAGTGGATCTACCAATTGGGTTGGTTCTGAATTAGTGAATTGTGGGTTCTTCTGTTGGTTCCTGTTTGATCTCTGGAAGTGAAAGAGATGCTAGTGTACTTTAGGATATATCTGTATATGTTACAATTGCATTTGGTTCAACGTCTTATTCATGTGATTACATCGTCTTAGGTTTCTATATATGAGAGAATGGCAATATCTGTATCTGTGTTCATAGGGTTGGGTTTAGGTTATTACTTTTACAACAAGAGAGGTGATTCCCTCCCTGAACACGAATGCTTGAGATGGCTTTCAGGTTGTCAATCTTGAGGCATTGTCGAGATTAGCGACCAAAATGCGCGCACCATCTCTTCTAGCCCAATGCTTGCCTGGGTTGGTGCCTCATGACCGTGACAATATGTCTACATTATCAGACAGGGATTTGCATCTTCCAACCCCTGCTGTTGAGATTGTACCTTCTAAGGTTTCTCACTTTGAGTTTTGCCATCAATCACATAACAATGACTTCTCAGCAGCTTCTTTCTTTTTGGGTGACTCTTACTCCTACGATAAAAAAGAAGAAGAAATGCCCTCTTTTTGGAATGGAAGAGGCAGATACATCTTTGTTTAGCTGCAGTAACTTGAATTGTTAAAGACGTTCCTGTTTTATCTTCTGCAGACAGCTCATCCATACAAATATTCAGGGGAGAACGTGGATGTGCACGGGTTAAACATCTTCAAGGTACGCCAAAAATGCTAATCTTTTGGCTGGTTGGTGTTAATGCACTGAACTGATCTGTCCCTTTCACCCTCTTCAAGGACTTGTAAGAAAGTCTCGAGTTTATTGCTAGAACCTTTATTTGAGCATTGTGCAAAGCTGCTGTAGGATACTAGGGTATTTTATTTCTAGCATTGAGACATGATCTACTAGCTTTTCTTATTGTAATGTGACATAGCATCTGGTTCATTATTCATTATTCCATTGATTTTTAGTGTTGCATCCATTACTTTCTTGCAGGGGAAAGTAAGTGTTGCTGATTTAATTGGGCTCTCTGGTTCAGAAATCGCTCCGCTAAAACATGATGGTATGTGCTTCACATTTTAGTAGCATCTGATGTTTTCCTTCTTTTGAGATTGCTCGGGCATCTGAAAACACGTCTATAGGATAAGATTTATGAATTATCATCAAAATATTAAACTGTCTCAGAAAACATTGTTTCTTACTTAATGCAATGTGTTTTTAACTGTTCAGGGTCTTTAAGAAGTTGGGAAAGCTCTATCGACCTTGTTAGCATCCTAAAAAACGAGATCCGCGATGGACAACTGAGCTTCAGGGGCAAAAGGGTCCTTGAGGTAATGCCTCCCCATTTGTATTGCACCTATATTATATATCTTGCAAAGTAATGCTAATCACGTAGATTTCACTTCCCATTGTAAAATGGTCCTTAAGCAGCCCCTAAAGTACAACAAGTTGTATAATGTAATGTTCTGCAATTAGTCAGGGTTGGTTTTGGATGGGCAGTAATGTAGAAGATCTCATATTTGTGTATGCCTATTGAAAGAACAGCTCGGTAGTGATTAGTTTACTCTATTTATCTTCCTACAGAATCTCTCTTAGATAAATTGATTCATAGTCTTATCGTTGCCAAGGTATAACAAGGTCTGCACGAACTTTCTTCTCTCTCAGTTATGTACTTATTCAAGTTATTTATTCGAAGGTTTTGTGGAGGAAGTTGGAGCATTGCAAAGCTTGATTATTTGCATTTTCTGCTTACTTGTGCTGCCATTCGTGTTTCGGTTTGATAACAAACAACTTGTAATTATATTTCATGCAACGTTTTGGATGATGACTTAATAATTTTACCATTTTGGTGGTGGAAACAGCTAGGTTGTGGTTATGGAGTTCCTGGGATATTTGCCTGCTTGAAAGTGGGTAAAAATGGAGCTACGAAAAATCTTTCCATTCAAGGTATTTGCTGAATCCAACCTAATGTCGTGGTTTCTTCAGGGTGCTTTTACAGTCCACTTTCAGGACCTCAACGCTGAAACAGTGAGATGTACAACAATTCCAAATGTTCTGGCGAACCTCGAGCAAGCTCAGGACAGGCAGAGCCGGCAGCAAGAAAGCCCGCTTACCCCGTCCAGGCAAACCGTGTCTGCATCTGTCCGTTTCTATGCAGGAGACTGGGAAGAGCTTCCGACGGTCTTGTCCATCATAAGAAAGGATGTCTCTGAACCAACCACGGGAATGAGCCTGAGCTTCTCCGAGGAAGATTTCATGGATGGATGTAGTAGCCAAGACGGGAGTGTGACTGGACAACACGATTTCTCCTTCAGACGTTCAAGGAAACTATCCGGCAGCCGGGCTTGGGAAAGAGCCAGTGAGACAGAACAAGGAGAATGCGGGTACGACGTCATTTTGATGACCGTTATCCCTTACTCCGTCACTTCTCTGAAGAAACTATATGCCCTCATAAAAAAGGTCAGTTCTTTTTGTCTCTAATCACCATTATGAATCAAAAATCGGATCAGAGATATGAGAAATATACATATTGGGTCGTTCATATTGATGTGTCTTGAGGCAGTGTGTGAGACCACCGTACGGAGTAGTGTACTTGGCCATGAAGAAACAGTATGTTGGTTTCAACTGCGGAGGGAGACACCTTAGAAACTTAGTCGAGGAAGAAGCCATTTTCGGAGCTCATTTGGTGAAGGAAACAGCCGACAGAGATATCTGGAAGTTCTTCCTCAAGTAGGGAACTGAACTATAAAAGTATACAAAAACAGAACATCTGTATAATGTAATATCTTATCCATGAAATATTTTGTTCTTTCAATTTCATTATTATTATTTTCCTATTTTGCTATTCAAATCCTTTGGGTTTCAGTTGTACATTGAAATTATATATGCAATACTGATTTGGTGAATTTGATGCTTTCTTTGTTTCTCTGTGTTTTGTATTTGTATACGTATATGTGTTGTTCTAATTTCAGGGTCGAATCTGACAATTATGAAAGGTTTGGGGCAAATCTGAAACATTTCCCGGATTTTGTACTGAAGTAAGAAAATGTAGCTTTTAGTATACTTTACTTCCCGGCCTCCGCTAAAGTAGCGAGTCACGATCGCTTACTTGTTCTGAGCCGCAGCGAGTCAGGGATAGATTTGAGAGAGATGGATTCCGAACAGGAGAGGGAGATGGTGCCTCTGAGCCGGCGACCGGAGTGGTCGGACGTTGTTCCGCTGTCTCAGGACGATGGTCCAAATCCGGTGGTTCCGATCGCCTACAAGGAAGAGTTCAGGGAGACGATGGATTACTTTCGCGCGGTTTATTTCTCCGACGAGCGATCTCCTCGTGCCCTCAGACTTACTGAAGAAGCCCTCCGATTGAACTCCGGAAACTACACGGTAACCACTCCATACTGGAGATCTATTTTCTGCTCTAATGGCGTTGCTTATACGCCGCTTTTGTGTTGTGGATCATTTTTGTGTAATGTGATTTCGGGTTTTACTTGGTGAAATCGCTCTAGTTTTACTTCAAGTTTAATTGGGTTTCACACAGTCTACTTGATGGAATTTGCAGTTTCCTGTCTGAAATACGAACTGTGATTTGAGATGTCGGCTTCTTTGATATGTCCATATGATTCTTTGAGTGTTGTAAAAGATTGCCCTTTTTAGTAATGTATCGTTGATACATTAGTAGAAGTTGCTATTAGCGTCTTCCTTCCCATGGTAAATGGTTTCAATCTAGCTTTTGAGAATTTCTGAGTCCAGAGATCAATGATAAGGCTTTGTGATTTCCCTTTTAGGTATTGATACTGTTGAAGATTTATGGATCAGTTATAGGAAGATTGACATTTTTTACATGCAATTTTTAATTTCTGAACTCGACTCTGATACTGCGGGAAAATCTGTTTTGTATTTGATCTTACAAAACTCTTTTTTCTCCTCCTTTGTTTTCGCTATGGCACCGGATCTTGTCCTAAACAGTTTAGACTCCTTTTTGAAGGTGTGGCATTTCAGGCGCCTGATTCTTGAGGCTCTTAATCAGGACTTGTATGAGGAACTCAGTTTTATCGAGAGCATCGCGGAGAGCAACTCCAAAAACTATCAGTTGTGGTGAGCCTTGTGGTTTTCTCCTATCCTTTTGTCTTCGCCTTTTTGCTTCTCTCTGGTTCTATTTGGTCAAACTTATTAGTGTATATATTCGTATTCTTGTCTATGAGAAGTTTGTATGTATCTGATGTTTAGTTTATGGGCAAACATTGACCAAGAACTTTATGCATATGTTTATTTGCTAGCCTACCTTGTAATAGATCAGATTAGGTTTTAGCATATGGAGAACTTGCTTTTGTCCAAGGAAGCTGATAAGTGTCCCACATCGGAAAAAGAGAAGGATTTGGGGCCAAGATATAAGGAAGGGTCAAACCTCCACTCTTAAGCTAGCTTTTGTGGTGGAGTTAGGGTCTAAACCTTATTAATTGGTATCAGAGTCTAACTCTCTACTTTCCGGTGGGCCTTTGAAGGGTCGTTCTCCTGCGGACATGCGGTCGACACGGTGGCTGTGGAACGGTCGGAGATGGACCGAGAAGCCGCCAGTGATGATAAGTGTCCCACATCGGAAAAAGAGAGGGATTTGGGGCCAAGATATAAGGAAGGGTCAAACCTCCACTCTTAAGCTAGATTTTGTGGTGGAGTTAGGGTCAACCTTATTAGAAGCATCGAATGTAGGAAGCTACTGCTTTATCTCGAGTCTGGCAATTTGTCTTCTATATCTTGTATATCTTCGTGCTCTAAAGATCAAAGATGAATCTGTTTCACAATTTATTTTAGTTCACATTTCTGCTGCTTATTTTAAGTTAGTTAACCTGTATGACCAAATGTCTTGGATTGTAACGGTCAATGGTTATGATCAAAGTTTACTTTCCCCAGGCATCATAGACGATGGGTTGCGGAGAAATTGGGTCCTGATGTTGCAGCCAAAGAACTCGACTTTACTCGTAGGGTTCTTTCGGTTGATGCGAAGCATTATCATGCATGGTCCCATAGACAGGTTTGTAAATTGTGATGTTGCATCTGTACTTGTGAAAGCACAGCTTTATATATGTCCCTTGTCAACGTTTGAGAAATACGTTTTCATGTTCAGTGGGCACTCCAGGCATTGGGTGGATGGGAAGATGAGCTCGATTACTGTCATGAGCTCCTAGAAAGTGACGTCTTTAACAATTCCGCATGGAATCAGGCATGTCAAATTTTGAATTTTTGCCCTATACTCTACATGATAAATCCTATTTGCTTCACTTTAACATCTACTGGTGCTTTCCAATCTTTATGGCCCAACATTGCAGAGATATTTCGTTATTACTATATCTCCATTGCTGGGAGGAATAGAAGCCATGAGAGAGACTGAGGTAAGCTACACCATCAACGCCATTTTAGCCAGCCCTGCAAACGAGAGCTCATGGAGGTACCTAAAAGGCCTTTACAAAGACAACACACAGTCTTGGATCAGTGATCCCGATGTTTCTTCGGTCTGTTTAGAAGTTCTTCGCACCAATTGCTTTCACGGGTTTGCTCTGAGCACCCTCTTGGACCTTCTCTGCCATGGCTTTCAACCGACTGATGAGTTAAGAGAGGCTGTGAGTGCCCTTGATAACAGAGGCTCGGATTCATCTGATCCGGACTTGGCCAAATCGGTCTGTACCATACTCGGCCGTGTAGATCCGATACGAGCCAAGTATTGGGCATGGAGGAAGAGCAAGATCCCAGTGATAGTGTAATAACCAGCATTCAATACTTGGAACATGGATTTCTGTATGGAGTTCTTGTTTCTGAATCATATGAAGATATGTACACACGACAACAGAATGTAACTTTCTTGTTCTTAAATTAGTTGAATGTTTGATGAACTTGCTCATCAATGGTTCTTTATGGCAGGAAATGAAACAGCATTTTGCTGCAAGAGTTCAGATGCAAAAAAGAACAAAAAAAAAAGTGGACTTTTTTTTTGTATTACGCCTCCAAAAATCGAAATGTTACTTCTCAACAACTGGAAAAATTTTGGTTATTCCTCAGAAACGAGCGGACTTTTTCCTGTTTGCAGCAGAAAGAATCGGTTCCACACCCTAACTCTTCCAGTGACCGATCTCGCCGAGCTGCTCGGTGCCGTCGACCTGGACGCCGGTGCGGCGGACGGAGTCGAGCAAGGGGAGGACCATCTTCCGGTGGTGGATTGGGCGGGAAATCTCCTCGTCGGCGTCAATGGCGATGGCTTCGACGCCGATCTCCCTCAGACGGAGACCTAGCTTCTCGCCGACACGCGACGCGGTCCTCGAATCCCACAGGCTCTTCGCGCGCGGGAATCGGTTGAGCTTGGCTCGGAGTTGGGCCACGAACTCCTGCTCCGAGGACGAAGCCATGGCGACGATCGTGGATGAGCCAGGCTGAGTCACTTGCGCCGTGATTTTCCGACATGAGAGTACAAGCTGGAGAAGATGTCGATGGTGGCTTCCGCTCATGGCGCGTGCACTACGCGGAATATACCCCGTTCGGTGATCGGAGATCTGTGTTCCCGACCGGAGAGGACAAGAATCGCACCGGCGTTATAGCTCGCGAAGGAGATGAAAGAAGGATTTTTTTTTTCCTCAAAAGAAAGTTTTTATTTTCTGCTCTCGTGGTGAACCCTTTATTACTCGATGACCAAAAAAAAAAAAGAAAAAAAGGGAATCCTAATTTCTAATATTATAGCAAGGAAATAGTTTTTCAATTAATAAACAAAATAAGAGCACTGAAGGAAAAGAAGGCGAAGGCGTCTATAGTGTTCGGAGCCTCGATTTGATCCAAGATTCGTCATTTCTCCGACAAGAATGCCGCAATCTGGGTCGAACTTGTTCCTCGTACTCCTCCATCTCCTGGGCTTCTTATTTCCGTGGAGAATTTCTGCGATTAGGTGATGCATTTTCTCTGATCTTCTTTCTGTTCGGGTAAATTGAATTGCATGCTCCGTTTCGGTTAGCTCGATTCATCAATTTCGTGAGGATTTCGTACGGATTTCTAGGAAGGACATTGGGTTTGGAGAAGTGCGGAATTGCAGAACGACCGTTCAAGGAAGATACTTGATCTCCGATGACAGTGGTCAGCCATTTTCTTCTCCGATCAATCTCTTAACTTTTCGAATCACCCATGGAATCAATTTTACTGGATTATGTATCTGTCAGAGCATTGCTCGATTCATGTTGATGGAAATTCATGTTGAGCTTCCTTTGATGGATGGTCGTCGTTACAGGATATGTATGCGATGCTTTGTCAATAGATTCACGGACCCGTTGCTGTCCTGGGAAAGGAGAAAGATTTTCTTGTCAGTGAGTCTCTTGAAAGCACAGTCTTGAAAATGACCATAATCTCTTGAAGGCCTTGTTCTTGGAAGCAGGAAGGGGATTACTGTGTAGGCTTACTTTTGTTCATAGACATAGTCTTCTTGTTGTGGTTTCATTTTGCAGTGGATGCAACCTTCTTTCACAGTGCTGCAGCTCTTACGAGTTTTGTGTTTCTTGCTGTTTGAATCCTGCTCGGGTAATCCAGGAAAATTTTGGTTGATTTCACTCTAGCATTTTTTTTTTCCTCTTTGCCCTCGTTATCTCTCCTTTGATTGTGTGTTCTGTAGACACTTCAAGGGCAAGTGATTAAGGTGAAGGTTGCAAAGCCGGCAACAGCAGGTACCTTTGTCATTCCATTTTAATCTTCTTGTTCATAACGGAGACTCTCCCATCAGTTGCTTTTTCTCAAATGTGAATGCCACTTGTAAGATCCGTGATTTTTCCTTGAGGTTCCTTAAGATGTGAACATCTAAAATTTGGATGTCAAAGTATTTCTAATCTCAAAATCGGTGAAAACTACAATTTAAAATGATGGTTATGAGAAAAAGAGTGACAGTGTGAGTTTTCCCTTGGCAGGGACTTATATGAATGTCTTTGACTTCTGTGCTGGGAGGTGCCGTCATAATTCTGAGAGTGTGGTAAGCAATAGACTTGAAGCTTTTTGTTTGTCAGCTGGAATGTGTGTTCGTTTTGTGGATTTTTCTTGAAGTTACATATCAAGGCCTGCAAATTTTACGAGGAAGGTAGATAATCTTGGTATTAGGGAAATTGATCAGAGGTGGTGATGGAATGCCCATTCGAGAGCTTTGTAGAAAACAAGGGATATCAAAATACGTAACAAGTCTTTAGCTAAATGGTTTAAGGGGTATACAGAAAACGTTTAATTCTCTTTTGAACTTTCCAGGTTCATGAAAATGCTTACCACAGCGATTTCCACCATTGTTTTTCTCTGACCTCGAATGCATCAGGTGAGGTTTTAATTATAGACCCTTCAGATAGCTGGCCAAATAGTCATAACATTCTTCAAAGAGCTGATCTAGTCATGGTAACAGGAGCTAATGTTACACAAGTCGAGACAAGATTGCTTGGAATTGACGTTATTGTCGGAAGGTAAAACATTAACGGATGAATAGCCAACTGTCTTGGATAAACAGTTCTCCAGACTCTTGATTGAATTGGTTTTACAGGCAAGGAGAATCGTGCGATAGGGTCTGCAGATCACGTGGACAGTCATGTGTCATGAATAAACTAGCCCTTCTAAATCAGTGTGACATGTAAGTAGTGTTCCCTCTCTTCTGCTTTAACTTCTAAGCAGTATATCCAGAATCTTTCACCAGATCAATCTTGTCTTACCATGCCTGTTCAGTATGCAAAGATATCTGAGCTGCAAAGGAACATGCTTAGCAAGTGTTGGGGCTGACCAGCCTGCTGAAGTTGTCCATGATGCGCCCAGAGATTTGGTATTTATATATTTTTCCAGTTATTTTCTCCTCTGCTTTGTTTCAGTTCCGTTTACTAATACGTATCTCTCTTCTATACTTTTCATCTGATGTTAACTTAATATTTTCTGCATGATAATTTCTTCTATTCAGAACCCGGGAGCGTGCTTATATACCCGGACAGAATCGATGCTTTCATGTGATGGTTCACACCAATACACCCGGAGACTCTGCCCATGCGCCTAGTGCATACCGCTCGTCAGTATCGAGCCATTTAGCATTCCTAGCATTTCCTTGCAACGATCGGGCATAGAGCGTACATTCTGCCATTGGCTACACGTAGTATGTGTGTCGAAAAGGATTTGTCTGGTGCCAACATAAACAATCTGGGAATTAGCTTTGGGTTTAGGAAAAGATCCTGGGGTTTGCTTGGCGAAAGCGGTAAAAGAAGAAACCCAAACAGATGGTGGGCAGGATGATTCCAATGGAGCAAGTTTGTAGAGTTTGGGGTTTAGAGCAAGTTGCTGTCCAAAAATTGCAAATCTGAACGCCTGCTCAAGTTTTGTATCTACCCTATGAAAGAAAAAACGTCTGGAAAGAGACATTATTGTCTGTGTAGCGTATTTGTGCTCCTGCATATGGGGAACGTTGTCTGATTCCGTACCACAGAAAAGAAACTGTGTTAAATGCGGAGAGAGGCCCTCATCCACTATAACGTGCGTGGCCCACTTGTCAGGCCCTTGTATCCTTCCAAAAGATGCAGACTTTGAAACGTATCTGTAGAGAGATCTCTGTGATCATCGCTCTGAATAGGGTTTTCTCCTGCAAATTCGTGGAGATTTACAGAGAAACAGGACACCAACGAGAAGGAAAAGAACTCCATCACTGTAAGAGGTTGTATCTGTCTTAAAAAAAAAGAGTCTGTCTTGATTTACTAAAGTGCAAAACAGTGATATATCCATAACAGCAATGAAACCGTCGGGTAAGAGATGGAAAACAGAAAAAAAAGAAACATAAAAAAGCTTCAGAAGCTGTAATCTGGTTTGAACACCCTTTTGCTCACTGTCTGCTTCTTGGTAACGTCTCTGTTCTCTTCTACCTTCACTTGGTCTCCATCTCCGGCTTCATCAGCGTCAGCGACGGCAAACGCGGGATGGCTCAAAACGCAGTTCAGAAGCTGCGTTCCGCGTAATGCGTTTGTGAGCGGCAGGTGCCCTTCAGGCGTTTCGTCGTTGAGTTCCCACATGAACTCGTCAGGAAACGCTCTGTAATTGTACTGTTCCACTTCTGTGTCGAGTTTCTTCATCCAGCCCACCTTCATGAAGAATCTGGTGAAGTCTTTGTTCACTTTGTTCCAGATTCTGCGTTGAACGCTGTACCCGAACCTCCCTTCGCTGTGTTTGGTCCAGAGGTCGTCGATGGCTTGCAGGTCGTCTTTGGAGATGAACTGGACCTCGGAGAAGAAGACGTAGCCCCGTTTCACGGCGGCTTCTCCGGCGAGCTGGA